ACACTCTTGTGGGACACTCTTAAGGGACACTCTTGTGGGACACTCTTAAGGGACACTCTTGTGAGACACTCTTGTAGGACACTCTTGTGGGACACTCTCGTAGGACACTCTTGTGGGACACTCTTGTGGGACACTCTTAAGGGACACTCTTGTGAGACACTCTTGCGGGACACTGTTGCGGGACACTCTTGTAGGAAACTCTTGTGGGACACTCTTGTAGGACACTCTTGTGGGACTCTTGCGGGACACTGTTGCACTCTTGTGGGACACTCCTGTGGGACACTCATTTGGGACACTCTTGCGGGACACTCTTGTGGGACACTCTTGTGGGACACTCTTAAGGGACACTCTTGTGAGACACTCTTGTAGGACACTCTTGTGGGACACTCTTGTAGGGCACTCTTGTGGGACACGGTTGCGGGACACTCTTGTGGGACACTCTTGTGAGACACTCTTACGGGACACTCTTGTAGGACACTCTTGTGGGACACGCTTGTGGGACACTCTTGTGGGACACTCTTGTGGGACACTCATACGGGACACTCTTGTGGGACACTCTTGTAGGAGACTTTTTTGGGACACTCTTGTGGGACACTCTTGTGGGACACTCTTGTAGGAAACTCTTGTGGGATACTCTTGTGGGACACTCTTGTAGGACACTCTTGTAGGACACTCTTGTGGGACACTCCTGTAGGGCACACTCTTCGTACGAGACTCCTCCAAAAGTCACGCTGCGAGGCTGCAAGACGAGCGTTTCAAACGAGACTTCCCCCAAAAGTCACGCGTCAAGTCTCAAAAACGAGCGTTTCGTACGAAGTCTCCAAAACGAGCGTTTCGAACGAGACTTCCTCCAAAAGTCACATGTCAAGTCCCCAAAACGAGCGTTTCGCACGAGACTTCCTCAAAAACTCACACGTCAAAGTCTGCAAAACGAACGTTTCGCGCGAGACTTCCTCCAAAAGTCCAGCGGAGAAACACCCATCGGAGCACACACATCACGCAGCCCTGCCAAGCAGTTTCGCGATTCCAGCCCCTCCAAACGACGCCCGCTCACACGCCAATCCCAATGTGACAGCGACATTCACCTCTACCACAACTCACAACCTCACGATTCCCTGCGCCTGCTACGAATCTTTCCGCGTCCACACGTCTAAGGCGCACAAAGTACTGCGCCTGTCACGAAATGTCACCTCCGTCACACCTCGCAACCTCACGATTCCCTGCGCCTGCCACAAGACTCGCACTTCCATACCTCAAAAGCCACACACAAAGTACTGCGCCTGCCACGAAAAGTGACAATATCATCTCATGTGAGCTTCAACAAAATTTGCACCACACCACACGTTTGCAATGATTTCGACCCGTTCTGAGCGCACTCCCATCCACCAAAATCGGCATTTCAGCTGAGACTTGTCACGAAAACAGAGCTTCGATGCCACACCCTGAAACGCAAATCCCAATGGCACGGCCACATCCAACACCCCAAAAACACGACTCTCCAAACGCTAATCCCAATGGAACTGCGCAGCAATCTGCAGATCTCACAAAACGCTGCGCCTGCGCAGCGAAACGCATCACGTTTCTTGCGCGACATCTCATTTTCATGCAAACCACAATGGAATAGCGGCGCAAACTGACACGTGACACATCCATGAAAAGTCACTTGCAAAAGCTTCCCCGAATGGCAGCGCCTTAGCGCTCTACTGCGGACGGCTGCGAACGGTTGCGGACGGTTGCGAACATAGAAGCAACGGGTCGCGAACAAAGCTCTACCCCCAGACCCCCAAGAGTTAAACGAGAACCCTTCGCTACGCATTCGGGAACAATGGGAGGCCTTGAGCACTGTCCACTTTGGCAATGTGCGAATCGCACAGGGTCACTATTACGGCCGTACCGTGCTTTACTCCGCGTGGACCTCGCTTTCACACCAATTTCGAATTACAAAATCAGAAAGTTTCACAACTTGAAAGGTTCTTTCCCAGTTAGGAAGCTTAGAGATTTCTTTGCGTCCTTGCTCCTAGTAGCGATGCCCGCTCTTAGCAGCGTCCTTGCTCCTAGTAGGATTCCCAAAAAAGTAGAGATTTTCAGTTCAAGTTCGCTCGAGGTCATTGCCGTGAACTTTGGGAAGGCGACCCCGAACCGCCCGCGTCGTACCCAACTACGAGCTCTTTCGTCAACAGTTGTTTGACTCATTGTTTTGCATTAGGTACATATGACTTGTGTAAACTAAAAGAGGCAATTTCACTATTGTTTGCCATATGTTTCTCTGAAAGCCACGCTGTTGCATTCCGAGTTTTCATAGTTTTCGAGACCGGGGACGCTTCGGAGCTGGAGCCTGAGAAGATAACGACGTATGGAGATGTTTTCAAACAAAGAAGGAAGTGTTGTTTTTCCCGAGGGGTAGGTCGAGGTAGCTAGTAGAGACCAGGTATAGCTACGACCTTCCTTAAGCTACTAGCATGGACGCAGGATAGCTCACTCAGGCGGGGGGGAGTTTCCTTGAAGAAGCGCTCACAATATTCACTTGGTTCAACCAGAAGGTTCCTAAAAATGTTTTTTCTTGGGAAACTTAACTTGAAAGGCTGAATTGAGACACTGCGTCTTTCACTGAGGTTCATCGAGGGACCTTTGACAAAGACGCAGTGTCTCAATTCTTGACCTCTCTCAGCAGAGGCGGCACACCGTCCGGACACTCGGAACTTTGCTCAAAAAGACGATGAAACAGGATCAAAAGGGGTTGCGGAGGTAGGTTACGCGGTTACGCTACAGACTTCTTGTTGCTTTGCATTGCTTCGCCTCTTTCCATCGAAGTGGTCACTTAGGTTGGCACCATGGCCAGCGAATGCCAAGGCCCTGAAGGCGCTTCTGAGGTCTCGCACGTCGCTCGGGGCATGTTTGGACGTTCGGAAGGGCCAGCCGCGACAAGGGAGCGGCAAGCAAAATGCAAAGATGAAAGGAAGAAAAAGAAAAGAAGAGATAAATAAGCAAAGTATGGAAAAGAAGAAAAGTATGGAGGAAAGTGAAAAGTTGAACGGACCGACTTTTGACAGGCTGATCCTTGGGATGGAAAGGCGAGAGGAAAACGTGTCAACTTGTTCTGGAAACCTGACAATTTGAAGAAGCTACTAGTAACAAGTGCATCGCTTCTAGTAACAAGTGCCTTACTAGTAGTAACAAGAAGCTACTAGTAGTAACAATTTGAAGTGTTGGGAAGACGTGCGTGTCAGGATGGTGTGCCACCGGCAGAGGAAGATTTGTGATGGGCGACTCGGGTTTGATCGACACTTCGAGAGCACCGGTTGACGTAACACCGAAGACAAAAGCGAAGTAGTAACAAGTGCCTTACTAGTAGTAACAAGTGCCTCGCTAGTAGTAACAAGT